GCCAAACTCCTCGGCGATTTCCGTGACCTGGGCCAGTTCACGGCCAAAGGGGTGCGACTCGGTCACCTTTTCTTGTCTCGGGGATTGGTGCTGGAATGCGGGCGTGGGCATTGGCGGTAGAGGGGTCTTGATCGCGGGGGTAATTGAGTGGTGAGACATTGTGGAGGCCGCGCTGGAACCAGACGACGCTCGCGCGGAGAAAGTCATGCTGGCCTTGGAGGAAACCGTCTTATCCGAGGCTTTGGACATTTGCGATAGGGAGCGCTGGCGGGCGACGGCATCAAATGAAGCCTGCTTCGTGTGTGTGGGCGCGCGCTTGGGAATGGTAGGGACCTCGGGTGTCTTGGATGCGTTATTGGGTGCGCCTGGTGAAACGAAATAACAGGACAGATGGTTTGGCTCCTTGAGCAGCTCATGGGGTGCAACATCGGGGCTGGTCGGAGGAGAAGAGGCGGCTGACCTGGCGCTTTCCGAGTCCTCTTCTGTTGACTTTCTCGACGAGTTGCTAGACGCATCGGTTCCAGTTCGGGGTCGGATATCGGGGGCGTTGTAAGAGAGCATGTTGGTGGTATGAACGAGCTCCATGGGCGCAGAAATCTTGTGCCTGATGGCGTACTGAGCCTTGGTAGTCTTACTTCGCTGCAAAATATTGGTGCGTTCCTTCCCCCTTGCGGCGTCGGAAAGGTCGATGCTGTTCTTAACCCGCCGGGTCGTAAAGGCTCGAGAGATAGAAGACATGTTGACGGTCGACGAGAAGCTCAGACCTGGTTTGGGCTTGGTCGAAGTGGAGATTTGGGAAGAGGCTAGGGTTTGGTGAGGGATAGGAAGTAATACCGAGGGGAGCGGTTAGCTTTAGTAGGTAGCTGCCGAAAGTACCTAGTTTGGTGCTCGAGCGTGATGAGGGTGTTTGTGCGCTTGGCCATCCACAGGAGGGGTTGAGCCGAAACGAGGTGATCAGATGACGACGACGGAACTGGGTAGACGAGTTGGGTTGGATTTGTGTGTGAGACACTGTAGATCGAGTAGTCCGGTCCTGGGACAACTCAACAAGTAGTCGGTGCTTCGGCGTAAATCCGGCTGAGAAGGTGGTTTGCGTGTGAGTTGCGAAGGAAAAGGAGTCTTGTGGTGACGGGTTCGAGTCGATGAAAGGACCGTGGGTGGATATAATACCAGTAGGTCAAGCTGGGCTGATGGCAGTTGCGTATGAAAAGAGGACGAATAACCCAGTCCAGTAATAGCAAGCCGAGAAGAAACGTTCAACGTGTCGTACGGGAAGCAGAGAGGGTTTGAGGGGCGTAAGTAGTCGTGGTGGTGGTGGTGGTGGTGGTAGTAGTAGAGGTAGCTAGTGTGTTTTTTTCGTGTAAAAGCAGTTCGTGCCGGCGACAGAATGGAACCAGTGTCTCGAGATTTCTAGGCAGAAAGGGGAAGACACTGAGACAATAAGAATCGAAAGACACCACAAAGGGAGTGATGATGCGTTGGTGTGATAGAAGTCAAAGGGAGGGAAGAGAAGAGAAGAGGGTCCTGTTTCCGATATCGAGAGTGGGAAAAGGTTTGAAGGGAAAGGGAATGGGAAGAGAGGGCGCGTAGGACAGGGTGCGAGGGGAGGGAAGACAGAGTAATAATACTCGCCGGTAACGGTTAAACAGACCGGTAGTGCAGCAGGAGTACGGATAGCACTTGTAAATTAGGACAATACGTACTCCGTACTCTATACTATACTACCTACCTGCAGCGGTCCCTGATGGCAAGCGCGAGGCAGAGTGAGTGATGGACCTTGTCTGTCTAGTGTACAGTTGTCTGCCCTCTGATCTCCTCAGTCCTGTCTGGCCCGAGCTTCTGACCGGCCCCGAAAACCCTTGCACCCCTCCCTCCGAATAACGACGAATGGGCCCCCCTCGCAAGTACAGTACGTCCTGGCTGGGGGCATGTCGCTCTTTGATTGCCTCATCGCCCCTTCTGGTTGGACCTACTACGTAAAGGCTCGCTTTCCCTCTCCGCAGGGACTGGAGCCAACGACTGGAGACTGCCGCTTGGGAGAAAATGTCCAGGCGCTGGCTACCTTACCCCACCCATCCTTGCAGTCTTTTCGTACCCCCTACGGATGGTGGGTCCATGTTGAGCAAAAAGGGAAAAGCTTCCTTGGCCTTCACAGTGTGCTCGCTAGCGCTGGAGTTGACTCTGCTGGGTTCCGCTTTAAAGCGCCAAGACCTGAACAAGATAGCGTCTGCGCCAATGACAGCTTTAGTTCGTCACGAACCCCTGGTCCCTTCCCTCTTCTTTTTTCCACACGGCTGCGTCGACCTATTCTAGTTTAGCCGTCTCTGCCGTCGTTCGTCACTCGGTCAGTCAGCCAGTCAGTCACCCTCCCTTTTCGCGTGTAATGCGTGTGGTCATCCCCTATTTGGTTACTATTACGGTATCTGCACAACCATCGACTCCCTTGTCTGCCGACCACTCCTGTCGGTGTTTATGGCGGCGGGTAGGCCCTTTTCCACAAACTGACAAGTGACATCCCTCCTCTCAAGGAGTACCTAGGTACCTACCTACAGCGTACCTAGGTATCACCGTACATGGTCCTGCACAACCATGCGTCTGCCGGGCTTGCAGCGTGACAACCGCCACCAATCCGCCAAGAAGCGCTTTGAAGCAGGCGCCACTCGAACGGTGCGATGCAATCTGCATCGACGCCAACCGCAAGCCCAAACAGCGGCTCAACCAGGGGGGAAATAGCGTATGTCATCGTCTGCCTTTCTTGGGAAAGGAAAAGGAAAGAAGAAAAGGAGGGAACAAAAGAGGCTGGCATCGTCGGGCCAGCAGTACAGTTGAGACCAGTCCGGCGCCTCACTCGCTCCCTTTTGACAGCTCATCCAGGGTTAACCTTCGCAGACCGATATGAACTCCAACGGTAGGTACTCGCCTTGTACTCGGCCAGCAGGCAAAACAGCATTTGCGTTTGCATATGTACCTCACGGCTCACGGGGCGCACGGTACATGTGTCGGGCTGCGACCGCCATGTCTTCCCCGCCGTGTTGCTATGGAAGTGGAAGGAACACGGCGTTGCTTGTAGCGAACTGCTGGCCGGCACACAAAAGCAAGTGGAAACTGTGTCGAGACAAAAAGCTAGGTAACACTTCGTGGGCCTTTCTTGGAGGAGTCTGACGTAGTGTAGCTGGTGGGCAAATTCCTTCTTCTCTTTTCTTTCTCCTTCATTTCTTTTTCTTTTTCTTTTGTGTTGCTCGTACGGATACTCCGTACTGTACCCGTATTGTATCCGAGGACGCCACCATCAGGGCAGCATCCCGACAGGAGGGCATGGTCCACCGGCTTCTCGCCCAACTACCTCATGGGCCCCCCGACGGGTCCCGACCGGTTCACATCCCGGAAGAAGATTATGTGATTCGAAATGGCCGAGCCGTGGCCCGTGGCGCATCGTCCAGCTGCCAGGTTTCTCCCCGGAGGAAAAAGATACCCCGTCCCTGTACCGATTACAGTGTGACGTGATGAGCCGCGGACGGAGCGAAAGAAGGCGATGGGGGCCGGGGCGATGGTGAGTTTGTGGGGTTCATCGGTGTTGGACCAGTGATTGGAATATACGCCTCCAGAAGTCGACAAGAGCGTCTGGTAAACTACTACTAGAAAGGCCTAGTCGTCGAGAATGGCCTCGTTGCCGTCAGCTCAAGTCCTGATGTAGACAGATGCAAAGGCACCATTGGCTGAATGTTCTGTCTGCCATCCTTCTTCCGTTTAGCAGACACACCCACCCCCTGGAGTTTCACTGTTTCACCCTGCGCCATCCATCCCATCCCACTCCAATGGTCCCGCCTGCCTGCCACTCGTGCCTGCGCAAGCAGCACGGGGATCCACACTGGTGGTGGTGTGGAAAGTGGAAACCAGTCGATCCGGAACCATTTCCTTTTCTCCCTCCCCCTTCCTCCTTCATTTGCGTTTGCTTGTTTCTTGCGTCTTGCAGGCGGCCCCAGGCCGGGATGCCAGCGAAAATCCCAAACAACTTAGAATCATCCAGTCATCATCGTCACATCTTCTGCTGCAACCTAATTCAATTTGTCCGGCGCCAGAGTCACGTCGTCACGCGTCACGCACACATACACACACATGGCCCACACCACATGGCGCGCAAACACATGGACACACAGTAGGCAGTACAAAAACAGCACAGTACACCCACGAACAGATCCGCAGTCGCCAAATGAGCAATGGCCGGGCCTCGTTCTTATCACACATCAGATATCTAGACATTCAGTGACGAAAGGCTAAAAAAAAAAAAAAAGGACCGCTTTTCCTCACCACTTTGCCACTACCATTTGTCACCCAAGTGCTACCGGTAGGTAGGCACTTTACCTTACAGACCCACACTATCCTCCACTATGTCGTGTGCATAAGCCTGTCACCCACATGTCAATCCTTGATTAGCACGACTCTTTGACTCACTGCAGCACTTCATCGTCAGGACAGCAGCAGAAGCAGCAGCAGCAGCAGCAGCAGCACGTTCGTTTCGGCTTGCAGACCAGCTCACTTATGGTGCACCGGTCTCTGATCCCTAACAAACAAAACGCTTTCTCACCGATTGCTTCTGCTAGTTTGAAAGTGCGTGCGTGGTATGACAGTCTTGGCTATCCGTCGCTACGAAACTCATTCGGTCGATGCGTACTGCTGTTTCGAAGACGGCAATTGACTTCGGACGATTTGAGACCACCCCCCGCGAGTCAAAAGCTGCTTTCCAATACGGAACCCCCCCCCCCTCTAGTCCGCTCTCCTCCCCGCTGTCAACGGCGCCGTCCCACCACCATCCTCATCACCATTCATTCTCGTGGTTGGGACTCCACCCTCGGCTGTGCTGGCGCCGTGCAGATACTCGGCCTCCTCTTTTGATACATCTGTCCCCGACCAAGAAGATGTTCTCCCGATGATCTTAACCAGAAGGCATGTCCCTGGTAATTTCACAAGTGAAGGATCACATTATTAGTCTCTCGTTCGCCTTAGTCCTCGTCCTCGTCCATCGATTCAGCACCGTCCTTCTCGCCCTCCTCGCCCTCGTCCTCGCTGGAGCTGCTGTCGTCATCCAGGACGCCAACGAGGCGGTCCTCCTCAACGCCTTCCGGCTTCTGCGGGACGCGCTCAGAAAATGCATGTCGAACCGCGGCGTTGGTGCTCGTGTCCCAAACGTGCATGGTTCCACGGCTGCCGGCAACGGCGAGTCTAAACGCGACCTCGGGATCGGGTGCGAACTGCGTCGAGAAAACCTTGCCTACGTCTAGGTTGCGGGAAATCACCATGGATGGACCGCTGGCCTGGATGTTCCACAACTTAACCGTCTTGTCGGTCGACCCGGTGGCCAGGAAGCCGGGCACGACAGGGTTGATGTCAAACGAGGAGACGGACTCGTCGTGCGCCTGCAGCGTCCACACCGCCTTGGTCGCCTCGGGAGTTGCCGGCGCGTTACGGACGTCGTGGACATGGATGATTCCGTTCTCCGTGGACACATAAAAGTAGTTGGGGTCGTGGGGGTCCCACCGGATGTTCTCCACGTCGCTCTCGACACCCCATCTGGGCGCCTTCGCCTCAGGGGCTCTCATGTCGGCGGCGACGACCGTTCTGTCGTAACTGCCGCTCAGCAGCACGGTGGTCTCAACCGAGTGCCACGCGAGAGAGCACACCTTGTCCGTGTGGTAGGAGTACGACTTGGCACACTTGGCCGTGTGCAGGTCCCACAACTTGACTGTCTTGTCGGCGGACGCAGAAGCCAGGAGGTTTCTGTGTTTCCTGTTGGCCGCGAGGGCGAGGACGGCGTCGACGTGGTACTCATCGTTGGCCTTCTTGGCCTTCTTCTTCTTCTTCCTCTTCTTCTTGTCCTCGGCGCCCTCGCCGGCCTGACCCAGGATGGCGTTGGGGTACAAGCTGTCGATGGTATCGAGGTCCCAGACCTCAATATCCGGATCCATGGTGCCGATGGCGACGAAGTTGGCCGTCGAGTCCTTGTCGACGCCGGCCTTTTGCACGGGGATGTCGAGCCACTCGACGCAGAGGGGTATCGCGGGGAGCATGATATCATGGTGGACGTAGAGGTTATCAGCCGAGTCCTCGTAGACGTAGACCTCGAGGTGGGCCATCTCGTCCTCGACCTTTGCGGCGAGCAAGAGGTTGTCGGTCGCGAGGATCTGCAGGTCCTCGCGGTCCTCGTCGTCGTCATCGTCCGGCCCGCCGTTGCCATGGAGCGTGATGTACGGGTCGTCCTTGTTCGATTCGTAGTAGGCGAGCGACTTGATGTTGCCGAACATGGCCATTCCCTCGCCCTGGCCGACCTTTTCCTCGTCCTCGTCGCTGTCGTCATAGTGCTCCAGGTCGTACTCCTTCAGGTCCTCGTCGTCAAGGTTGACACTGTTCGAAAGGCGGTCAGCAAGTCATACTCTTCCAATTATGCGCGCCAGTGCGCCTTCGTATGTAGAGATTGGTGTCGACTAACGTTTCCGTCTTCGACCCCTTTGCGTCGGCCGCATCGTTGACGGTCTCGGCCGCGACACCGTCCTCCGCCTCCTGCGCCTCCTGCAGGTCCTCCTCAGCGTCGTCCAGCTGCAACTTGGCGAGCTCAGCTATGCGCTCGTATTCGCTTTCGTCGAATGTGTATTTCGAAGGGAAGGGCGCCGCGAAGCCTCGAGGCACCCAGGTGGATGTGGTGATCATGGACATCTTGAAGGTCGCTTCAAAGAGTTATGTCGCTGGTGATCGGGTATGTTTATTTCTAATACGTAGAAGGACCTGGTCCTCGTAGAATTTTCAAGGGAGGAAAAGAGGGTGTATGTAATCGCCAAAAAACAGATCCCAAAACTTTTTAGAGGGTCGGATCCGGTGCAGGGAATCGTCTCTCCAGTTGCGCCCACCGACAATGTGTGTGAAGCGCGCGATGGAAAAAAAAAATATTCGAAGGTGGGGTTTATCTTATCTTACTATCGATAAACAACCTGTCCAAGGACCTTTCTCGCGAGAGCGACATACGGCCCACCATAAACACCACGAAGGAGGAAAACAAGGATGCCAAACTCCATCGAAATTACCTATCAAGAGCATTTAAGGAACATCTAAGAGAGCGGGTGTCTTGCGAATTGGTTTTTATTTTTTATTTTTATTCTTTATAGCCGGTCGTGGGTTAGTAGCATTCCCCACAGACACCGAAGCCAGAACCCTTTCTTTATTGCATTAGCCGAACAGGCATTGAGTGACTGCTACCAGGGGTATGTGCACCTGAGCCACCGGCTCCACTCAAATGCGACTTGTGAACCGGCCCAGTTCTCGAGCTCTGTTTACTTGCTTTGCCTCAACTTACTCCATATGTATTTCTGGGTCAGCATCGCAACCTGCCTCGTACCCAGCCAACTCACGCATAATCGAAAGCTCATCGTGTGGGTCACGCTCATCTTGACGAAAGCTCGAGCCCGAAGGATACAGGAAGCCTAGGCGACGCCTTCGCAACCGCAGGACCGGCAGCAATATGTACGACAACCGAGATGGATCAGGCCCCAGCTTCAAGCGCCGGAGGATAGATGGAGGGAGATTCCAGGACTCGGGCCGTTCGACACCACGCGACTCCCGCGCCGCGGAAACGCCAGCTCGTGACATTCCGGAGCCGACCGACGAAGACTCGAAAGCGCTGGATCGCGACTGGTATATGGGCGACGAATTCGGCGGACACACATTCGGTGATGATTCGCACAACCCCTTTGCGTCGTATGCATCATGGGAGGCCGAGAAGCAAGAAGCTGTTAAGGCGGAGAAGATGTCAAGTCGCTTCGACGCGCGGAAGGAGCAGCGACAGAGGGAAAACGATGCGTGGGAGACGAATCGGATGCTGGTGTCCGGCGTGGCGCAGAGGAGGGACATGGGTGCCGATTTCGACGATGATGAGGCTACGCGTGTTCATCTTTTGGTGCACGACCTGCGGCCGCCTTTCCTCGATGGCCGAACCATCTTCACGAAACAGTTGGAGCCTGTCCCCGCTGTGCGCGACTACCAGAGCGACATGGCCGTATTCAGCCGGAAAGGCAGTAAGGTGGTGAAGGAGGCGCGCCAGCAGCGGGAACGCCAACGGCAAGCACAAGAGGCCACAAACATTGCCGGTACCGCCTTGGGAAACCTGATGGGCGTGAAGGAGGACGACGGGGACAGCGCGCTACCCGTCGCTTCGGAGAACGACTCGAAGAAGAAAGGCGGAGACGAACCCGTAGAGAACGGCAACAGCAACAAGTTCAGCGACTATATGAAAAAGGACGAAGGTGGGGGCAGTGACTTTAGCCGAAGCAAAACTCTCCGCGAGCAGAGACAGTATCTGCCTGCATTCGCGGTCCGTGAGGATTTGATGCGCGTCATTCGGGAGAATCAGGTCATCATCGTCGTCGGTGAGACGGGGTCTGGCAAGACGACTCAGCTGACGCAATTCCTCCACGAGGACGGGTTTGGAAAGTCGGGCATGATTGGGTGCACGCAGCCGAGACGTGTAGCCGCAATGAGTGTAGCCAAGCGTGTCGCCGAGGAGATGGAGGTGAAGCTCGGCAGCACGGTGGGTTACGCCATCCGATTCGAGGACTGCACCAGCAAGGACACTGTCATCAAATACATGACTGACGGTGTCCTGCTGCGAGAGTCGCTCAACGAGCCCGATCTTGACAGGTACTCGTGTGTCATCATGGACGAGGCGCACGAGCGCGCCTTGAACACGGACATCCTGATGGGACTGTTCAAAAAGATTCTCCAGAGACGGCGGGATCTGAAGCTAATTGTCACGTCCGCGACCATGAACGCGAAGCGGTTCTCAGACTTCTACGGCGGAGCACCGGAGTTCATCATCCCTGGCCGAACCTTCCCTGTCGATGTCATGTTCCACAGGTCGCCGGTCGAGGATTATGTGGACCAGGCAGTACAACAGGTCTTGGCCATTCACGTATCCATGGACCAGGGCGATATTCTCGTCTTCATGACGGGACAAGAAGACATCGAGGTCACCTGCGAGCTGATTCAACGGCGGCTCGACGCGCTCAACGACCCTCCAAAACTCAGCATCCTGCCCATTTACAGTCAGATGCCTGCAGATTTGCAATCCAAGATTTTCGACAGGGCAGCGCCGGGCGTGCGCAAGTGCATTGTCGCCACGAACATCGCCGAGACGAGTTTGACCGTCGACGGTATCAAGTATGTGGTGGACGCCGGATATAGCAAGATGAAGGTATACAACCCGAAGATGGGTATGGACACCCTCCAGATCACCCCCATCTCGCAGGCAAACGCATCGCAGCGCTCGGGACGTGCCGGCAGAACGGGCCCCGGCAAAGCCTTTCGCCTGTTCACCGAGAAGGCGTTCAAGGAGGAGCTGTACATGCAGACGATCCCGGAAATCCAACGGACGAACCTGAGCAACACGGTACTTATGCTCAAGTCCTTGGGTGTCAAGGACTTGCTTGACTTTGACTTTATGGACCCGCCACCGCAGGACACCATCACAACGTCCATGTTTGACCTGTGGGCGTTGGGTGCTCTGGATAATCTGGGCGAGCTGACGCCGCTTGGCAGAAAGATGAGCGCGTTCCCCATGGACCCGTCGCTCTCCAAGCTTCTCATCACGGCCGAGGAATACGGCTGCAGCGAGGAGATGATCACCATCGTGTCCATGCTCTCTGTTCCAAACGTCTTCTACAGACCAAAGGAACGCCAGGAAGAGGCAGACGCGCAGCGCGAAAAGTTTTGGGTGCACGAGTCGGACCACTTGACGTATCTGCAGGTGTACTCGGCGTGGAAGTCGAACGGATGCTCGGACGGCTGGTGCATCAAGCACTTCCTCCACCCCAAGTCGCTGCGCCGCGCCAAGGAGATTCGAGACCAGCTGCTCGACATCATGAAGATGCAGAAGATGGAGATGCTCAGCTGCGGCATGGACTGGGACATCATCCGCAAGTGCATCTGCAGCGGCTACTACCACCAGGCGGCCAAATACAAGGGCTCGGGCGAGTACATCAACCTCCGCACTAACCTCGGCGTGCAGCTGCACCCGACGTCGGCCCTGTACGCGGGCCACCCGCCCGACTACGTCGTCTACCACGAGCTCATCCTGACGTCCAAGGTGTACGTCTCGACCGTCACGGCGGTGGACCCGCACTGGCTGGCCGATCTGGGCGGCGTGTTCTACTCGGTCAAGGAGAAGGGGTACTCGGTGCGGGACAAGCGCATCACCGAGACCGAGTTCAACCGCAAGATGGAGATCGAGGCGAAGATGGCCGAGGACAAGAAGAGGGAGGAGGACAGATTGGAGGCCGAGAAGGAGAGGTCCGCGAAGAAGAAGCCCGGCACGGTCGCGGTGGGAGGGAAGAAGATTATCACGCACGGTGCTGTGAGAAAGCCCGTTATTAAGCGAAGGGGCAGAGGCGTTTAGCGGATGCTTTTGGATAGCAAAACGATTCCATGAAGCGAGGTATCACAATAGCTCCGATGTTACGTGTGAATCTTGTCCTTTGGTATCATAAAATGGCTGCTGCGTTGATATGGATCAGGCGTCATGTGTCGTTTCCTTCCAATATACCAAATTCTTTTCTCCACATTCATACATGCTGAGATCTGGGATAGCGTAACCGTACCTCAGCTTGGAGACCGACCCACGAAACTCTGTCCACATGAGGCAAAAAAACCGACCGCAGGCTCCGAGTATACAAGAGCATGTCCGACGTGGCCATTGGCAACTGCGCCTCGCAGCCTCTCCTTAGATGCGAGTCGGAACAGTGGCGGAGCAATGCGATCACAACGTGCCAGGTTAGAAACCCAAAGAGTCCTTGACATGATCGTTTGGTGTTGGACCTTGGCATTCCTTCATCCTTTGCCCTCATTGAAACCCCTTTCGTGGACTCTGTTGGTTCCCGCCACGGCGTGGGCGGGAGAGCTGAGGGCGGCAGACGCCGGAATACCAAGCACAAAACAGCCCCTGTTCCCTTTATGCAGCCACAGCGAGACTCCATGTTCTTGCCCAGCTTGGCAAAGCTTGTGTTCTGCCGGGTGGGCCATGACGGGCTCGTCATTGGCCACGCCCGTCGTTTACTGTAGTGCAGCAGGGGAGTCGGCAGCGGCTCTGTTGGCTCGGTGTTACAGCAATGCTGCGATGCCCACCGGTCACGAGCCCCCTAGCTGTGTCCTCTCATCTTGCACACTGTTGGCGCAAAAGTCGTAGCATGGTGCAAACAACCGAGCTCGCCGCCAAAACCTACAGTTCGTGGTATGTCTGCCGGCACTACATGGTTACCAACCAGGTCGACCCTCGAAGCCCGTGGACTGCTTTCGCCTCGAATGAGCGGAGCCGCCGCAGCCTACCGTCATTGATTAGTCGCGAGTTCAACGCCTCTTCGTTCGTCTGCGGCCCATCCTTTGACCCCTGAGACGAGGGACAAAGAATGGCTTTCAGTAGCAGAGATTGCTACTGATGACCGTGGACCAGTAACTAGGCTCCATGCGGGGAAGCCCATTCTCTCTTTAAGGCTGCGAACCGTCTGGCAGTTGGCCAAATGTGACATTGAGAAAGGGAGCGGTGCTGAGGAGGCCGCCGCCCTTTGGAGGACGGTCGGAAGCGGTAGCTTGAATCGAAAATTCTCGTGTATAAATTAAAGTTTCGATTTGAATGGTGGCTCTAACAGAGACCTCAAGTTGTCGCACACGCCGGGCCCGTGTGGGAGTTGAGACCAGTGTCGAGGGAGCTTGTTGCCCGATCCGGTCATTTCCCTCCAACCGAGTCGGCTGATATCCGTAAGCCCCGGACAGTAGATAGGGCATGAGCCCACCTCCCGCATGCCGTTCCCGACCGTCTGCCGGATGTATAGTCTTCTGGAGTCCTCGTGCCGCATGTTGCCCAAACTCCTAGTAGCCGCCGCCGCAAAAGACAAAAAAAAAGCTCTGTTCCCCCTTCTGAAGCCGACATGGCTCACCGCTTGCAGATCAACAATACGTAAGTGTAGGGTTATACCCGGAGCCTTGCTCACTCTGTGAGATCGCAGCTGAATCCCGGCACGTATTCCATGAGTATGCCGGTCACCTCGAGTAACCGGTTATCAAAATCTTGTTGAATCGCCATCCGCACGGTGCAATACGTCTTGGGTAACCTGATGCCCTTCTCAGCGCCCATCCGAGACTGTAAGCGACTAGCACGCTCGTTGCAAATAGTCTCGCATTCGGTCTGTCTGTCGACCTCCTCCTCGAGCCTGTTCAGCTTCCTCGGGGCGTCGTCAGCCTCGGAGTCATCGCCGGTCCCCCAGAGGTACTCTTTGGCGGCGCCGCGGCGGACGTAGTCGACAAACTCCCGCTCGAACTCGGGCGTCCATTCGCCGGTGCCCCGGCGAAGCCGCAGACTTTGCACGCATGGCGAGAAGCGGCGGTCGAACATCTTTAGCACGGCCCTGAAGGGGGGTCCGTTGGGCTTCATGACGGACACTTCCATGACTGTCCAGTCGGAAGGCTGGAACACCTGGGATATCACCATGCGCAGGCTGCCTTCAAAAGGGGGCCTCCCGCTGACGGCGAGGGCGGTCAACATATTGCCACGGTAGTACGGATTCCTTGTTCATGTCAGCGCACGAACGACATTTTCATCATGCATCACGACGAAGACGCCTTACGGGGAATATGCCATCTTGAGCCAGTCCACGATGCTTTTGAAGAAACTGCCCACGCCCAGTGCTACGCCGAGGAAGCAGTCCTTGATGTAAGCCAAAACGGCCGCCATTGTGTCCCGGCTCAGAAGGTACTCAAAGGAACTGGAGTTGCCGCGCAGTGCGGATTGCAAACGTCTCGTGTGCGATGAGGTTGGGGCCTGGTGATGAGCCGGGGCTGATGAAGGGTGGCGTGAGCTGAGGAAAGTCGTCGTGGAAAAAAATCGCAGCGGCAGGGTCTGGGCCTTTTTGAGGTTGCTACTGGGAACTCGAGACCCTGTCGGATCAGCCCGATTAGGAAGCCAGCTAGAGCTCATGTGGAGAATGGTCGACAGGGCGTTAGCGGCGCTAGTGCTTCGCTTACCGAAAGCTTGCGCCGCCCTCCGTATTCGACTCTTCCGTGGGCTTTGGATAACAAAACTCGCGGGACCGACAAGGAGTAGGTCGGCCGACAAAGCGTACAGATACCGGCCCCTACCGCAACGAGTTCCATGATACACGGCACGATATTCGCTCATCGCACCCAAGATTCCATGATTTCAATCAACAGATACTATCAGCCTTCAGAGATATAGTGTAGGCATTTATTGGCCCAATTTTCGGCCCCTGCTCAGCACCCTTCACGGCGAACTTTACCAGAGATGTTGTAACTTAATTGCACGGTTTGGAACAACCCATCCGCCGGAAGAGCGTAGGACTTTGCTACTGGTATGTTTACCCAGCGATACTGCTGGAGGTTCTCTCCTCGTGTGCCCGAGACCACCGATTCCCTTTTTCAATCTCCAGATGAAGGGAGATTCCTCCCAACCTAGTAAGCGCTTGCTCCGGAACGCCGTCCTCCTCCTTCTAGTAATAAGAATAATAAAGAAAAAGAAGAAGAAGAAATACACCGTGTATACACACGTCAATTCTTTTGTGGTGGCTCGCCCAGACATTTGTGAACGAGCCGTCGACAATTCGCCACGGGGACGGCGAGGTGGGAACCTTCAGCCAAGGCACCTCGACGCCGCGAGCCCCGCGACGAATCCGCTCACGGCGATGCAGAACCCCACCGCGGCCGTGAGGCTCTCGCTAACCTCCCGTTCGATCCAGCGCTGTCTGAACCTGAACCTTCCGATGCGCATGTGGAAAATCTCCTCGACGTCGACCTCGCCCCGCCAGTTGGGCTTCACCCGCATCGACTCGCGCTTAGAGAAAGTCTTTCTCTCGGCCCTTTTCTCAGTCTCGCCTGGTTAGTTGCCGTCAGCCACGAATGAAAAAAGGAGGTCTGGAGGGAGTGCGGGGGAGCTGTGTAGGCGGATCGGAGCAAAATGGCGACTCACACGAGAGATATGCAAATGTCCCCCTTCAGCTTGGCCTTCAGCTCTAGGTCCACATCCAGGTCTAGCCCAAGCTTCAATTTCACGGGCCTCTCGTCCCTGTCGCTGTAGCCCTGGCGCGGTATCGTCAACGTGGCCTGCTTGTTGAAGTTGCCGTTCCCGTTGCTGCCGTGGTTGTTGCTGTTATTGTTGTTGATGTTGATCGTGTTGTTCTCGCTCCCCTGGTTGTTACGGTTCCGGTTCCGCCTGCGGCGGCGGCGGCGTCCGCCCCCGCTCCCACTGCCGTCCACGCTGATGCCTGAGTCGATCATCGAGATGCCCGTCGTCGAGCCGCCCATGCTGGATGCTGAATCGTCGACTCGCAGGCCCAACTCCGCCAGGATGTCGTCCTGGTCCGGGATGAGGTCACTTTGACCGCCCGGGGACGGGGGAGCGGCGAAGCGGCGGCGCGAAGGCTGCGGGACGGATGTCATGATGTTTCTAGGCGCCATATTTTTACGGTTATAGCGGATAGGAATCCGCGTTTTCTGCTTCAAGCAACTCGGCTTGGTTTCTCGTTGTGCTTCAGAAAGCCGCCTCTATGAAGCCTGGTCGGAAGATGTTGTGGTCGCGATTGGTGTACCGGCTGCGTGGGAGAGGACAACCATGTGGTGGTAGCTCCAAGGTCTTGGTGAACTTGAGGTATCGCTCCGTACAAACTAAAAGGGTTTTGAACTGTTTCCGAAAACACCAAAGCAAAGTCGTCTGATACAGAGCAGAATGATCCCGCGAGAGACCCCGAAAGCATACCTAACTCTGGGTTATATACCATCCCCGACTCGCTCCTCCCTCCCCCTCAAAAGAACAAAAGGACGCAACAGCGGCCCCCTTGCCCGTTGAAACTTTCAAACCCGCCCTTCAAAACCAAACACCACCCTGGACGTTCGACTAACACGGACCCTTCGCGGGCGGGAGGGCGAAAGGGTCACGTGATGGGTCGATGGTGGAGAACAACGCGTGAGGATCTCGTACGATGCCGCCCGACCCTGAAACCGCAATGCAACTTCGACGTCGCGATCCCGGCAGCAACTCGGACCAGGCGGGCTCCCAAAAGGCCACCCGTACTGTAGCAGCGATTGTCTTTTAGCTGTGTCTGTCCACCATTAGCATGAGGTCCTCTCCTGTCTCGACGCCGAGCTGCTGACGGTTTCGTTGTCGAGGGATCGCCGGTCGGGGTCGAGAGGGTCAAACACCTTATCATTGATCGCCAGCCCCTCCGTTGTCTGTTAGCCTCGAGCAGTTCGACTCCATGAAGACAGATAAGAGGGTACACCAACAACTGACTAGATTCCAGCAATGTTATGATTTTTACCCGTCATTGTTTTAGCCATATCATCAGCCGTGATGTTGATCCTTCATTTATGAATCAATCAAGCTTGGCTGGGAAACACAAAAGCAAAGCACATATAGTGCGCCGAACTCCAACCGCCGAAGCCGTGCCAAGCCCATGGTTCCCGATCCTGGCGTATCAATGCCTTTTGTGCTCTCTTCAAAATACAACCTGATGTTGTAGTCCAGATGGACAACCACACAACCCAATTGCGAATCCCCGAAAGTTTTGACAGGATTTCGAGGGAGGTCTAGACCCTCGGGTCGTTCCACCCAAGCGCGCCCACTCTTCGTCCCAAGTTTTCACACCCCATGGATTCCTTTGGAAGTCCAGACCATGACGCGCATTAATATGAGATGATGGTGCCCGACACCCGAGCTGAAAATGACAACAAGCCACCTGCAATGGTGCATTGGCACCTTCACCCTCTTATGTGCTGAGCAGATCCCTCACCGACATACCCCTTCCGGCACTCCTCACGGCACCGGCACTGGCACCTATACTCGCATCCCCGACGGTGCCCCTCCGATCGCTATTCAACATCAACAAAGCAGCCGTTGCCTCCTGGTCCAGGTCCCTTTGCGGCGTCAAAGCGGGACTAGTAAGCGCCGACCCGAGCCCGCCGCCGTGCCTGTAGCCGACATACGTCTGTGGCCCAAAGGCAGGCGACGTCGTCGTGGAAGTGCTATAGTTGTGTTGTCTTGTGTGGTCCGTCGACACGGAGGAGTACGAGTCGTGGCGGTGCCTCGAGGTGGCGTCCTGGGGGAGTAAGACTGGCGACGAGGCTTCCGAGTCGGTCATCTCGACGTCGTCGGGGTCTTCTTGATATTTGGGGAGGAACTGCGGGATGGGGCCCCACGAATCGCCACGGCCTGCGGGGGTCTGCAGGCCGGACTCGGTGGGTGAGCGGGCCTCGGACGCGTCCCGTTGAGCCTTGAGCTTGGCGACGCAATCTTCAAGATATCTCACGTATTCGATTGATGCCTGCGAGTGGCTTCCAGTCAGTAGCTGAGGAATACGGAAGAGCGCAATCGGCACAACTCACCTGTAAGATAGCCAACTTGTGCATCTCCCCCGTGCAGGCCGGGATCATGCCCTTCAACACAGCAAACTCCTCATTCATCTTTGATCTCCGACGCCGCTCAATCAGGCTATGCGCCGTCTTCCTGGCAATCTTGCGACCCGCCGCGCTCGTCGTCGAAGGCTGCTTCTTCTTGCCTTGCACTGTCGTGGCGGTTCCGGCCGCCGCAGCCGCGGCAACGGCCTTTCCCGAACCCGATGTCCCCGACTTAGGACCGGTCACCACCGGTGCCTCCTCAGGTTCCTCCTGCGCCGCACGAGGCTTCATCTGGATGATTTTGCGAGACCGCGTCGGCGGCGGGGGCAGCGCGAAGGTTTGGTTTGAAGCCGCCCTTTGAGCCGCTGACGAACGCCGGCGGGACTTTACCGTCTCGCTGGGCTGTACCGGATATGACGCTGTCTTGGAGGGCAGGATGGACTGAAAGTCGGCGTTAGGGGACGTCCGTGTGCCCTTGGGGGAGATTCTCGAGGCGTCTTGGATAATGGCAGGGGGCGGCAACTCGAAGGAGAGCTGTAGTGAGTTGAGGTTATTGGAACCGTCTTGGCCCTTTATGTCCGTCGAGGACGCCGGCGTGGGTGGTAACGTCGGACGCGGCATTGTGTATGCTTGTGCGTGTGTGCGTGCGTATATGGAAGAGGGGGAGGACGATAAAGAGAAATGAGAGATGTTGACGATTAACAGAACGAATAACCCGCGCCGGAGAACGGCCAAGTGTGCGAATCCGAGGTGGTGCTGTGCTGGGCGTACAAAATCGGTCGGCGTGTTGCTATGGGGCTATGCTAACGGACTGTAGATGCCGGGTGATGAAGGAGGCAGCCGGCTAGTACAGTTTGCGGCTTGGCACTCGATGTACGAGCGCCAGTTCGACAATGTACCAGACGAGGATATGAGTCCAGTTCGCTGCTCTGCTCTGATCACTGGACGGGACCGAGAAGGTGAAGAGCACGCGAGTTACGGGAAGGGTATGGCATATGTCTGCTGGGGCGGTGATGTAGAAGAGAGTTCCAGAGAGGGGGATGTGAAGGAAAGAAGTAGATGGTAGGAGGGTGGCTACCTAGGTAGGTAGGCAGGGCAAAGATACGGCATGGGAAGTACAAAGGTTGAGGCGGCACACGACTTGTCTGACTCTCGCTCTCATCGTCCTTGGCTTGTTCGTCCTTGACTTCTTCCCTCTATTTACAACCCCAGGCTGGTGGCTCGCCTCAGATGCCCATCAACCTCTTGGCAAACGCCTGCCCCCCCACGCCTCCCAAGCCTCTTGGTCATGGATGGGATGAAGGCGGAGAGGGGACGTGCTTCTGCTTCAGAAGACATGGGCGGTAACCCTGACGAAAAGAGAAGGACCTGGGGGAAGGGGTCCGGGGCTTCAACGAACTAGGCTGAAGGAGAGAGGGCACGCGACTCCAAACCAGAACAAGTGCCAGAGGGGAGACCCCGTAAACAAGACACACGCGCGAAATAGACAAGGAAAATACAGAAGAGAAGAGCGGCCAATGAGGAGGGCGGACGTAGACTCCTGGGAGAAGAAACGGGCAGGAGAGGCAGCATCGAGGGTCCAAGGTGGGTGACCAATCAGAGGGGCGGACCCGAGCACATGGTGTTCCTGAATGGCAACCACGCAATTCCGATGCCAAGACCGGGTCACAAGGTTTCCTCTCTGCCACTCTCTGCTACTATCTGCCACCATGGATCATCGGCTCCAAATTGCACAATGCCCCACGCCCTCAAGATGTGGATTCCTCTTGGTCAATTAACTCCCCAGATGTGGTGTGTGGCATCTTCTCGCCTTACCTCGCGGCTTGGATGCAACTTTGCTCGAGAAATACTGTCAAAGAGATCAGAGAGGCACGAGACATGTTCTCGAGATCCTGTTGGCCGACTAGCCCAATCTCAAAATGTCCCCAAATTGATTGAAACTCCCTTGGGGTGTGGTCCCCTCCCCCGGTCGTAGTCTCCGTGTTCCGTGTGGCGTCCCACCTTGAGCATGGTCGTTGGCATGTGCGTAACACGTGCGTGCGTCTATGTTGCTCGTGTGCTCCTGCTTGTCTGCCAAACGTGCCTCTCGTCTGTATCTGTCATTGAACGGGGTGAAGCATTGGGAACTAACCGATGACGAACCTCGCAGCTCATGTCCCGCTTCAAGAGTGAGCACGTGGGCAAATGTCTCCCTTTCCCTATCCTCACCTCTCACCCGCCTGGCGCCCCGCGGTGGCATTTCCCATCTCGGATTCCCTCAATGCCCCCCCCCCCCCAGCTCACCGGATCAGTATCAATTGCCTTTCGGGACAATCCCATGTTCACGGTCCAGAGGCCGGCCGCCCGTCGCGATATATACGACGGTATTCGGAACAACAGGCTGCAGACAACCTCTTTCTGAGATCCCAATGGCTTGCCACCCCTCGCCCTCATCCCCTTCCCCTCATGGAAAGAGAAAACTAGGACTAAGAGGAGCAACAAAAGGCGAAGCTCTCATCACAACGGGGCCGGGTTTAGCGTCCGACCTGCATCCGTACTTGTGGGACGGAACATAAGTTGTGAGCCTAGAAAACATCCCCTAATAACTAAGAAGGAGGTCTTTATGGACAAATTCAAACTTTCATTAATACGTAGGCCTAACGGGCTAACCTTCTGATGAAATATATACCGCGATCACTAGTTACTTTTCATCTCGGCCTTCCATCGTGTCCCTACACGTACCGATAGCACGCTCTGGGACCCTGGTACACCACCCCAAGGCACATCCAATCGGAGAGGTTTATTAAGCGCCACTGGAGGCACACCTCGGGATTGATCATCACCGGAATCAAGTAATCGCGTCGTCTTTAGTCGCCTGTGTCACTGCCGGATTTGACTATGTGTGGGAGCCCCCTGTGATTAAGCTTGAAAGATCCTAGCAACGCACATAGAGATTGGCGTCAGTAGGTGTCCAAAAGGCGAAGCTCTCATGGTCCCCCCCCCCCCCCCCCCCCAGACCGCCATCTTAACTTAGACTATAGTCTGTTGCGTTAGTAGTGTCTAAAACATATTGTTTAGTCTATATACCTACACTATATAAATCTAACCCTCTGTAATTTACGTTTTTAAGCAAGTAGAATCTAAAATCTATATTACTTAATATTTCACTCCCTATCCCAGCATCCGATCACGCCTCTAATTCTAGTAAAAGGGCATAAATTATTACCTGTTAAAGGAAATGTAGATCTAGCATAACTGGAGGTGTTTGTAAGAACCCTAAACAACGGTTGACTAAACGGATGAGGCCTCAGAGAGTTAATAACAGAAGAGAGATGCCTGCTCTACTAATCAGGACTTTAACGGACCAATGGGCACGCGTGGTAGACGGGGCGGTCGCCCATTGCGGGCTTGTACGCGGCAGGGAATTCGTCCGCGTCGGTCATGGGCGTTACGTTGCTGGGCGCTGGAATGCGGCAGTTACCTCACGGGGTCAGTGCCTGAGTATCATTCGCCGGATACAGTCGCAAAACCCCCGAGTCAAAATTTAATAACCGACTGTAGGCATCGGATATTTCAACCAAACATGAATGGCTTCTGGATTCACTTTTGAATGATGTTATTTCGTGCTGTGAGGGATGAGTGTGGAAATCATGCTGACCGAAGATATCTAAAACACATCAACATAGGACCGTCACCGTCTCCAGGCTTTCTCTTATACAATCCTACCTAATTCCATAGTTACCACCTTTGTAATGCCCCGTAGGGCTTCCGGGCGATGAGCCACAGAAACAACTGTATGGGCGGTGAACTCGGACTCAATGACGTTGCCCATCACCTCCTCAGTTTCTTGATCGACAGCACTAGTAGCTTCGTCGAGGATCAGAATTTTACTGGAGTCCTTCCTGACAATAGCCCTTGCAAGACACAGAAGCTGCATTTGTCCCTTTGATAATGGAATTTCGGAGATATCGGTGTCGAGGCCTCCACGGATAGAGATCAACGACCAAAGAGTGACCTTTTCGAGTGCAGTGACAAGGGAATCATCTGACGGTGTCTCTTCGGAATCCAAGACGTCGTGATAGGGGTAGAGATTTGTGCGTAGGGTTCCAGGGAAGAGAAACGGTTCCTGAGGAATGGAGATGAGGCGTTGGCGAAGAATGTCAGTGGGGACGCGGGCGATATCAATGCCGTCGATTTCGATCGAGCCAGAATCTAGGTTCAGGAGCTTGTAGATGGCAAGAGTGAGCGACGACTTGCCACTTCCTGTCCGTCCACAGATTAAGACTTTGTCCTTTGGGCTGATTGAAAGGGAGATTTCACTGAGCGCCGGCTTTGAACCCGCCGAGGATGATGCTGTAATACGTTGAATCTCAATTTGTCCTTGCGAAGGCCAATGAGGCGGAAGACTGATCGAGTCTTCACCAGCGGGTGATTCTTCAATTGGTGTCTGTGATTCAAATGTTCGAAGTCGAGAGATCGCTCCTAGCGATGTCTCAAGCTCTGTCCAGGAAGTGATGAGGTTAGCTAATGACTGATTGAATCCAAGGACGTTGTAAAGCGCAACAGCTATGGCGCCAGGAATAGTTGCGTTTGGAATCATCAGGGCCATCGAGACAAGCAAAACAGCGATAGCACCAACCAACAGGTCCAGGACCAGCGTTAGCCAGCGCTGTATGCAAGACAACAGATAGTAAGGGCGCTGTGATTGGTCCAGAAGGTCAAGTGATGTTTTTATGAAGGCTTCTTGCCATCCAAAGGCTCTGATAGTCGACAGACCGCCAACAGTCTCGATCAACTTGGTAAGAAGAGGTGCTTGGGCTTGAAGGTCGAGCAATCGCATTTGTCGGGAGGTTCTCAAGTAGAAAGCCTGTAGGCAATACAGGGCAATGAGAATAAACGGGATGACGATCGACAGGTATTTAGCACCAGTCACTATAAGAACACCTCTAGCAAGGCAGTCTAAAATGGCTATGTCATGTGAGTTTCATATACTACTGATAGGTATGAGTGGGCATCTCACCAGTCGAGGTCATGAAAAATGCGACAGGGAGGTCTCTGTCAATGTGGGACAGGTCTTGGCTGAATCTACAAAAGATTGAGTATCTGAATTCACTGAATCCAATTTGCTAAGACTCTTACCTGTTGATCAAGTCACCGGTCTCTGTAGTGGCAAAAAAAGATGAGGGTGCTCTGTTACCCGATCAGATAGCATTCTTCTCTGTGCGATTTCGTAGTGTAACTCACCTCATAACCGACTTTAATAGCGTCCAGTGCATGCTCTGAGATGATTTTCGCACTATCATAACAAACACGATCCTGATGACATGTATCAGTACGTACACCATCAACTGTCCAGGTCTTTGTTTTGACAAACCAGATATTGATGCCGATCACAAGCAAACCTATCAAAGAAATGGCACTGTAGACCCCGAAATACATGGATGTATCTGCAGAGCTTGTCTCTGCTTCATCTTCGGTCCAGAATTTGAGCCAGAGTTCTCTAAGATATCAGCTTTACGTCTCATCGACAGGTCATGGATTGTGTGACTGACGAGGAAAGACACGGACGAAACAGTCTAAGAACAAGAAGACTGCGCTGGCTGACCCATAAGTCCACCCGATTGACTTCAGATAGTACCAGTGAAGTGTGATATCGCCAGCTTGTCTGGAAAGGTCTCGCTCTGGATCGGCTTCTGCTTCCCTTCTTGGTGATCCAGTCTGCCGGCAAGATCCCGATGTTGCCCGCTTTTCAAAGGGCATTGAATTGCCACACATGCTGTTTTCAATAGCGAGGCCTTTCAGGTGCGCACTATGGCGGATGGCTTCAAGATTACCCTGTTGGACAATCCTGCCATTGTCCCCCAAAATAACAATGTTATCTGCATAACCGAGATAGTTCACTTCGATTAAGGTCAGTAGAACTGATCGCAACCAGTCTATAGCGTTGTTCTCTCGACTTACACGAATGTATGGCGAAAACAACCGAAGCTCCATATTAGCGGACAAGCCCCGTAGGACTAAAAAGACATTCCCAGACGTGCTTTTGTGTGGAAAGATCCAGTCCGCTTAATGCGTCATCAAGGACGGGTTTCGGCATTCTTGAATAGATTGCTCGTGCCAAAGCCTATACATGTTAATAATCTAGCCCAAGAGACTGATGTTGTCGTGACATGACCTACAACGCGCTGCTTCTGGCCCCAGCTGAGCAATTGGCCATTGCTTCCAACCACAGTCTGGTCCCCGTGAGTAAGCTGTGCGAGATCGTGCTCCAGAGCACAGGCATGCAAAACATGATTGTACCAGTCAAGTTCCAAATCTTTCGGACCCAAAATATTATCCTGGACAGTTGAGGTGATGAGCCAGGCCGTCTGTGAGCAGTAAACTACACCTCTCTTGAAGCCTTTGACCAACCCGCCCACTGAGATTTTTCCCAAAAGACCTCGAAGAAGAGTTGTTTTACCCGAACCCACTCGTCCGGTGACAATAGTGACTGTTGAAGTTCCGATGCGGAGATTGATATCACGCAAAATAGGGTCAGCCCCAGCTTCCAGTGCAAAGGTACCATTCATGACCACTGCAACATCCTCCTCGGTGATTGGAGTTGCAAATAGTGTGGACTGCAGCTCAATACCATTACTGGACTGTACTGCTCTGTTTTTGGTAAATTCCACTGTTGATGAACTGCCCGGAACCGTGATCGCTACTGTTGTGCTTCGTTCAAGAAAAGCTTGAATTCTTTCAAAACTTCCGAGAGATGCTACGAGGCTTGGTACCGATGATATCAACTGAGCAAGAGGTCCGGCAATCAGGTCAATAATCGAAAGTGACGTGAAGACCGTAGCAATCGAAAGCGACGACCCGGCGTTGATATTCTGGGCCAGAACCGCAATCCCAAAAGTAGCAACTGGGCCAATCATTTGAGGCGCATTGCCTATGACAAGTCAGAAAACTTAGGGAAAGTACAACATGAAAATCGCACTTGCCTAAGAGGTTCATGTACGTAATGAGGGTACGATACTGTTTTGCTTTACACAACTCCAAGACCCTAAGATCCTGGATCGTCTGTTGCAAGAAGTTCGCCATACCAAGCATCTTTGTTTCTTTGATGCAATTCAGGACCTTCGTCGTGACTGTAATGCGTTTCTGGATACCCTCGTTCCATATCTTAGACGCTCGGAGCATAAGCTTCGATAATTTGGCCGTGCCAATGGCACAACCTGGTTGAGTTAGCGTCTACTTCATGCCACGTCCGATAACGGTTTATGTGCCTACAGATAATCGTAATAGCCGATCCTATACTACCAAGACCGAGTTGCCTCTGAAGTAGCCAGACAGCAATTCCGATCTCGATCGGGTTCGCCCAGACCTCATGGATGGCTTCAAAAGATTTGCAAATCGTTCTCACATCGGTACTAACCAATGTCAGTGGTACTGAAGAATCGATCGCTGAGTCCGGATAGAAGTCCAGGTTCTTTGTCATGACGAGAGAAACCAGAGATCCACGGATCATGGTGATGTAGTAGAAGAGCCTATGTTGGTAAAAGCCCGTCGATAACTGATAGATGGAACATTAGCTAGTATACGGTTCTTTCTGCGTGAAGTAGCTTACAGCGTTCCCTAGATAAATGAGAAAAGTAGCAATGATTAAGCCGTTTCCAACAGACTCGGGATGGCCTTTTTTGTCCCCGTCAACGTATTTGATGATTCTGTTCATCAGAAAGGGTTGAGAGAACTTGAAGCCAATCAGAACAAATCGGGGTATGGCCGTAAACACAAATGCCAGTTTCGTTGTGCTGCAGACCGATCGCAAGAGTGCATGTTTTCCTTTTCCTCTTTGTTGATCCCAATGCCCGCCAATTATCTGGAGAAGCCTGCCAGATTGCAGCCCCTCATCGACGGCGTAAAGGGCTGAAGGGGACAAGTTGTCCCTGAACCCATGCCTCAGTAGGCCATTGAGCCACCAGAAGAAGCCACGAGAAACAATACCGCTGGTGGTTTCTGGACTTAGGTTGCGCAAAGCAGCAAGGAGAAACCGGCGCTTTCCCCGGATTTCGAGAAGAAACATGCCTAGTTTAACCAATAGCATTGTAGAAAACGTGGCCGCGGTGTTGTGCAAGCCCGGGAGAAGCCACAACGTACGGCATTGCACTGCGTCAAACAGTAAAGAAATAATAAGATAGAGGCAGATAATGCTGGAAGGCCGAACGGATCGGGAATGCTCTGTATGGCTGAGTATGCCCAAAGCAAAAGCATCCACAACACCCAGAACTGAGGCAGCAATCGAGATGTGGTTGGCAATCGGGACATTTGCCCATAGTGTTAGAAGCGCAATCTGAAGCCCTCCAAAAAGCACATATGCCAAAATCTTGGCGGTATTCAGGGGATGTCGCAAACTTTTCGGCGTTGACGAAAGAGGTATTGGAGTCGCGGCGGGAACACCAGCAGTAAGACTGCAGATGGCCCAATGTTCAATAGAGATTGCTCAAAGAGAAGTGTGAAGTTGAATCGTTCGCTACAAACGGTTGCTGCTGGACCGAAAGAAGCCTCGCACTTGGCGATGGCGGTAAGATTGCCCATCCTCGCGGTGATTTGGTATCGAAATTGCAAGACGGTGGTAGCCTGAACGCTTGTTGGACGGTCCATTTATATAAATTTTGACAATACCAAGCCTGTCAAGGCACAATCAATGCAGCTCAGTGGCATAATCGAGACCGCTATCTCTTATCAAAATTACAGTGGCAATTATTGCCTCAAGCAACGGGAAGGGCCAACATACAAACGTCCGGCGAGAAGCTTTGGTTCACGTCAGGATCTTTTCAACATCCAAAGTAAACAAGCACGTGACGGTGTAGATGTTGTCGGGCATGGGAAGACGACACCTGCCATGTCTCCGAATCAAAAACCTTGGCAGTACGTCGTTCGTACCGCGACCACGTCTTGCTTTCACGAATTGTCTCAACCCCGATGACCAAGAGCCCATTCATGCAACCCGAAGCTTCCCATCTCACCCTTGAACCTCAATGCTACCGAAGAAAAAGACACAAGAAAGTCGATTGAGCCATTCGTCGTTGTGGTAGAAATGCCCGTAAGCCCCCTTGCTCGTACCGTACCAGTAAGGGTGTGTAGATAAGCCAGATAATCCCCATACCCAATGCCAAGAAATAGAAAACACCACCCCTTTTTACGATTTTACAGCTCTTCGCTACTCTTCTTCTTCATACTCCACCTCGCGCCCCAGTATCGCCGCCCTTTTTTCAAACCTCGTTGGAGGGATACTCGACCTTGGTTGTCGCCGCAAACTCCTCCTTGATGCTCCGCATACTCACGAAACGGGTGAGCAGGTTCGGACTGCCCGCCTTGTCGTTCGTGCCGCTAGCCCTGCCGCCGCCGAACGGCTGCTGCCCCACGACGGCGCCAGTGCTCTTGCAGTTGATGTAGAAGTTACCGGCCGAGTTGCGCAGCCTGTCCTCGGCGAACCGGACCGCCGCGCGGTCCGTCGCGAAGATGGAGCCCGTGAGGCCGTACTCGCCTGTCGAGTCGACGAGGTCGCACACCTCTGAGAAAGCCTGCGCCGAGTTCACCGCATCGTCGTACACATAGACGGTCAGCACAGGACCAAAGAGTTCGGTGCTCAGCAGCTTGTGCTTCTTGTTTGTTGTCTTGTAGATGGTCGGGTGCACGAAGTAGCCCTTGGAAGAGTCGTACATGCCGCCCGCGATGAGCTCCAGCTCATTGTCGTCCTTAGCCGCATCGATGACGCCCGAGAGTTTCTTGAACGAGCCCTCGTGGATGACGGGACCCATGAAGTTGCTGTGGTCGACCGGGTTGCCAATCTTGATCTTGGCAGTTTCGGCAGTCAGGCCTTCCTTGAACTGGGGCCAGAGTGAACTGGGCACGTACGCCCGCGACGTCGCACTGCATTTCTGGCCCTGGAACTCGAAAGCGCCACGGATTGTCTGCTTGACGGCGTTATCGACGTCGGCGGAGGGGTGGATCAGGTGGAAGTTCTTGCCGCCCGTCTCGCCGACGATCCTGGGGTACGACTGGTAGTGGCCGTTGGCCACGCCGTTACCGATGGCGCCGTACAGCTTGCGGAAGATGGCGGTGCTGCCTGTGTAGTGGAGGGCGGCGAACTTCTTGTGCGCCAGCACAGCCTTGGTGACCTCCTCGGGGTTGCCGGGCACGAACTGGATGACCTCACGGGGCAAGCCGGCCTCGATCAGTATGTTGTAGACAAGCCAGTTGGACGCGATCGAGTAGTCACTGGGCTTCCAGACGACGACGTTGCCGAGCAGCGCCGGGGCGCCGGGGAGGTTGCCGGCGATGGCGGTGAAGTTGAAGGGGCTGACGGCGTACACGAAACCCTCAAGGGCCCGGTACTCGACGCGGTTCCAGACGCCGGGGCTGTGGTGCGCTGGCTGCTGGGCATATAGCTCCTCGGCGTACTTGACGTTAAAGCGCAGAAAGTCAGCCAGCTCGGCCGCGGCGTCGATCTCGGCCTGCCACGCGTTCTTGCCCTGGCCGATCATGGTGGCGGCCATGATATCGTAGCGGTACTTGGTGGAGATGAGGTCGGCGGCTTTGAGGAAGACGGCGGCGCGGTCGGCGAAGGGGACGGACTCCCATGAGGATTTGGCCGCAAGGGCCGATTCGATTGCCTTGGTGATGTCGGACGGCGAGGCTTGGTGGTACGTCGCCACGGTGGTGTTGTGGTCGGCCGGGTTGACTTGCTTCCCGGTGTTGCCTGTCTTGATCTAGGGAGTGTGTCAGTTACCGCTTCGATCGACTGATGATGAGAAACAGGAACGCCGACCTCTTTGCCAGCGACAACAATTGGCACCTCTAAAGGAAGCTTGCTCTGCAGGGCATCGAGCGCGGCAGTGAGCCCTTCGCGCTGGGCAGAGCCTTTCGTGTAGTGATGCTATTGCGACTGTCAGCCATCATGCCCCGCGACTGCCGACTCGTACAGCTTCGTGAGTTCTGTCACCTACGTTGGGCTCGTTGGAGATGGTGGGGATTTTGAAGGCAGCAGAAGCCACCGTTCTGGTTGTTGTCCTCGTTCCAGGGCCAGCCAGGCGTGTTGTGAGTCGGCAGGTCGGGACTGCAGAGATGCTGCGTCCGAAAGACGTAATGCGGGCAGAGCCCCGAAATTGGGAATTCAAGAGCCCAGTTGCTCGTGTAGACGCCATGATGGGTAGGTAGATGTGAAGGTGCAATAGCAAGCAGGGTGACGCTTTCAAAACGGCGGATTGGGCACGAAGGAAATCCTCCAAGCAAACGCACAGAGCAGTTGCGAAGCGTATGGTCGATCGTCAAATGTCTGGTTGAGGATTGAGACAAGAGACCTTTTTTGGAGGGGAAGAAGTGCAACCGGCTGGCTATAAAGTCTCCGCGTCGTAACCTGGCAGAAAGCTCGGACAGTCCTTCGTTCTGGATACCACTCGTCGGGTGGTCGCGGGTTAAGAATGCGACGGGACAGCTCGAGACATTGACGGAGAGCTTGTGAGGGGTTGTGGGAGTTCGGAACGCTGGATCCAGGTAGATTCAAGGGGGGGGGGGCACCCGGGAGAACCAATGACGTCGGGGTGCTAATGTCACTCAATGGCGATAACGACGCCTCTAGCATTGTCCAGCTGCCTATCGCGACCCTTGAACACTTTGCGGGGAAAGCATTGCCCAATAAACTTGTGCCAAACTGTGCCGGGGGTCCCCAATGATAGTGGACTTGATCGGCTCAGTGGACCCGGTACATTAGATAAGGTCAGCGCCATTCCGACCTGACGAGGAAGTCGGGATCGGAAGGGCATCCCGACATCTGTATTATTACTCCGAACCGTGCATTGATTAAGTACTAACGACAAGGGGAAAAGGTCAACAGAAAAAGAAGAGGCAGAAAGAAATCAAGGTATCTTGGCCCCGTTCTAGGACCTGTCATATCATTATTCGGTCTCCCGCGGCTTAAAGAAATTTCCAACAAACGCTGCAGAGCTTGAGCACACAGATGCCCCCCTCTCTCAACATCTAGCATTCACCTATCACTCAACATGAGCTCCTTCGCTTCATGGGTATAACGTAATGCAACCGAAAAAAAACACTTCGGATCAGTCTTCCGGCCACACGGGATATTATCGCCGGCAGAAATTCGCTGCCGGCTCGAAATCTCACCGAGAAGTTGCGACACCAGCGGATGGTGCTCTCTATTCTCCATGCCCAGCGGGGCGCTCCTGCTCAGGAAAAGGCTCGACCGGCTCGGGCTGGCTTCGGTACTTGAGCTGAGGCACAGTAACGCCGTAGCCCTCGGTGATGCCTTCCCGGTTGGATTGGTCGATCTCAACGCGGATGCAGATGTCCAAGCTACCATCATTGCCGGTACCGTGTTGCTGGCCGGCAGCCTTGTGTTTTGAGCCGGACTCGACCTCGCCGTTGTGCAGGAATTCGTGCCCGCCCTTACCCGAGATCATGGAACGTGCGTCGCCGTTGACGGGTGCCGCGAGCCCATTGTTAGGCGAGTTTTCTGTCAAGATGGCGAAGTTACGGCTGGGCATGGTCACATGGTTGGAATTCGACGTCTTGCTCGTGTCACCTGGGTCCTTGTCAAAAAACTTGAGCAGGGTCTCATCAGTGTCGTGGTTCAGATGATGGATCTTGTTCCGCCTGGCCAATAAGTTCGCGATGGCCGCTGGTGGAGGCTTGTTGGTGATGGCCGAAGAGACCACGTTGGCCATGTAACGGTGGTCATTCTCCGTGGCGATGTTCAGGCGTGGGTTGGAGTAGAAGCGGCCCATAGCCGCCAAGTGCACATCACCGCCCAAAATGGTGATACGGACCGAGAACTCTGACGCGATAGCCTGAAGTCTCTCCACGAGGGCATTGCGTTCCTTTTTGTGAGTCCTGGCTGTGTAGTGGTCGTCGAGGTCATCGAGCAAGTCGACACTGCCGTCGAAGTGGTTGAAGACGCCGCCGGCTGGAAACGGTTAGCCAACTATGGAATGCGGGCAGCTACACGTAGGACACGTACCGAGACCGAATCTCCGATTCAAGAACTTCACCGGGCCCATGATCGGGCTTCTGAAGACGTTCTCAAGCCATGTCAGGCGCTAAGGAAGGGTTAACTTTCGGCGCAAACTGCCACGCGAGCGATGGAGACCCACAGGGTATGCGATGGGGATTCCCAGCAGGAGAATCAAATGCTTGAATGGGCGTCCCGACTCCGCGGCCGACTTCAGCTCCTGCCTCAGACGGCCAAAGATCAAGTCGTAGGTCTCGGGGTAGTTGATCTGGTGACGTGTGCGCTACGACTTGTTAGCTTTCTGTATTTCCTCATAAGTATCAGGCCTATGATAGGTACCTCGGTTCGCGCATCGATGCCAAGGAAGGCAATTCGCGCTCCCAATCGGGCAAACATGTTGTGTGAGTGCTCGGCAACGTATGGCTAAGCGGGTTAGCTTGTGTCTCTGAAGAGACCCGTGTAGCACTTACACCAGGCTGCTTTCCAACAATGTAGCTGGGGTCAGACTTGGCAGGGGCAACATAGGTGTCCATGAGCTGGTTGGGGTCGAGGCCTTGGCCCTCCGATGTCGTGGTGTGATCTATCCACGGGATCAGCCGCCAGTCTCATCTCGGTTGGACAGCGATACTCACCCGACGTGTAGGTGGACACTGGCGGGGGTAGGTGGTGCTGGAACAGCATGTAGTACTTGTGGGCAGTTCCACCAATGCCCCTGAACACATCGCATCGCATGAACTCGTCAACGTACGAGCCGAACCCGTCAATGATCTGTGTGTACCGGTCAGCCGGCCTCTGTCACGCAAGTCCAAGTTTTGCAACATACGTCGTGGTCATCCCAGATGTTGAGCTGGGGGATCTGGGCGTTGGCAGTCGCAAAAGGCTCCGTTGAGTACCTGTTCTTGATGTTAGGTTCTATCTCCGAACTCTCCTCTATGCGACGTACCAGCGGATGTAGTTCTTCACGTAGTAGTCGTCGCAGGCCTGGCGCAGCTTCTCCGGAAACGGGAAGTTTCTGCGCTTCTTGGGATTCGCGATCTCGGTCCATTCGCGCAGGGGTCCGTCGACTCGAATACCGTCATTGTAGATCTGGTCGCCTCCTCCGAGCCTTTTGAGGACGTCAGTAACCTAGCATCGCACCAGACTCGGACTCACCGGACTCACATGACATGGAATGGCCGTTCCTTGTGGTGTCGGTTGACGTCGTTCCACAAGGCGGGGCCACTCCAGGCGTCCTCATCGGTGCCTACACTGAAACCGTTGCAAGAGTGGAACATGATGCGCATCGACTCGTTGATGGCGGGGACGAAGAAGTGGAAGCGGTCAGGCCGGATGGTAGCCGACTGTCGCATGTCCGGAACCGAGTACGCCCATTTAGCCTCGGCTTCGCTGAGCGGAAGAGATAAATCAAAGGCCCAAAACGTGTTGCGCGGGTCCGAGTAAAGACATTGACCCTGGATCTCGGTGCCGCTCGCACTGTCGCCGTTTGCCGCGCGGGAGCCATCGCCGTTGACAGTGCCGTTGGTACCGTTCATCCCATTCGACTCGGTGTGGGCCTGCTGGCCGTTGGCTGCGTCGACGGGACGCAGGACCAGGTGCGGAGCGAAACTCTGCGTCTTGCCGCCGCCCTTGGCAACAATCAAGACGCTTCCGTACCAGCGATCCCCGTCCATCCTACGGTAGTTGAGCAGCGGACCGCAGATGATCTCTCTGCCGTCAGGAGCATCCCGCTCATTGGCGTGAGTAGGGTTCGAGCGCGGCGCCTCCTCGCCGGTGGCCTCACCAGCAGCGATCATGATAGGCTTGAAGTTGGGAGGAGCGTTGGGGTTTTCTGGCTCAACGCGGTCGCGGTTTAGGAAGTCGGCCAGGTCGTCGGTGGTGCCTCGCTCTTGGGGGTCGCGGGGTTGGATGGTGCCATGGGCGGCGGCGGCATGGCGCGCGAAAGCCGAGCTCTCCTGATGACGCCATCTGTTGGCAGAGGCGTACGGGTTGTGCTCGACATTGTCGAGAGCTTCTCCTTGGGGATGGGAAGCCATGGTTTCTGTTGTCGATTGGGATTGCAGCTTATCGTCCGCCTTTGTCCTGGGAAGAAGCAATCAGCTTTCCGGGAAGACAACAAAAAGCGTCCCTGTGCAACGGTGGCTGGCTTCTTACAATGTCTCGAAGCAGATTAGACTGGCGGTTTGTCAGTGTGCGCACACCAGTCAGCTCTCGAGAGCTCTTTGGGGGTATCTAAGTTTGGGTATCTGATGTTGCGACTGGGGGAAACAGAGACGACAGAAAAAGGCGATCCTGCGGGGAAGAGAAGAGGAGGGACGAGGCGAGAGAGAGAGAGAGAGAGAGGGAACACAGGAGGATTAAAGCAAGAGAGGGTGTCGTCGAATGCCACCACGGGTCGCACGAGAAAAAGCGTGCTGTGGTGGAATTGGATGCTATGCTTGGCCTAGCAGCGCAAGGTGACGCGAGCCAGGAATTGAAGTGGCAGGGATTGTCGCCAGCGGATATAGTCAGTGCACTACGCAACCGCCGCGAGCGACACGCGCTAATGCTGGGAACTGGGCCTGGCGAAGCCGGGTCTGCCCTGTCCGTTCGTGCTGCTGCAGGGTGAGCCGGGTGATCAGTGTTCAAGCGTTAGGGGGTGAGCCAGGGACCGCCTCGAATACGTACCTATCTTGGAGACAGAGAGAGGGCGAGAGAGCCATCTACTACTAGCAGTCGTGGAGTGCTGTGGGCCTCAGGAATTTGGGGGACCCCCAAAAGGAGATGACTTTGTGGTTCAAGATAGGCCATTTCCCATTTGTGGGGGATTTGTTTTGCTCTTCTCTTTACAAAGTCTCACAAGCTGTGGTCGACATCTCCAACCTTGAGGAACCTCCGAGTCTCGTACTAGGCTTTCCCGATTGCCTCAGCTACGTTAGTGGAACCAGGCATCCATCCTACCACAGTCTATGATGCTTGTTGTATTGAGCCCGGCCAACAAGTGAGAACTCCATCGAATCCCATTCGTGTGAGTACCCGTAGCACACGTAAGATCCGTCAACCCCAAGCTTGAGGTCTGGCAAATCACGGCCTCATCCCTGTTTCTCGCACCCAGCTTACTGGCTCGCTTTCCCAGACGAAAGCATGCGCTGGCGTTCTATCGGACCAGATAGGTGGTTGAGGTAGGTGAGCACACCGTTGGGTAGCTTGGTAAAAGAGTAGGACAGCAGCAGCAGGCAGGTAAGTTTTGCAGGACAAGCCAAGGCGCGGCCAAAAGGCCGATTGCGTTCTCTTCAGCTTGCCAAGGATAACGTCCTTGTCGGCGCTCTAGTTTGCTGACCGGGATTGGATGGTGCGTGAAGTGGCCAGAGCTTCGGCCAGTTTTTGCTTTTGGCACATTGAGGTTCCACGCACGCGATGGATGACGCTGGCTCTGGAGTCGGTCTGCGCAGTTGATACGTCCAGATGTGTGTGGTCTGCTCTAGGTAATCATCGGCTGGCGAACGGTGAAATTGTCACCTACGTCAGGACTTGTGGCTGGGAAATTAAAACAGGAATGCCCCCCACCACCACAGGAACCAAGGCTGAGAAGACCCACTGCGGGCCCCATGTTTCTGCTGCAAGTGTCGAAGCACGGTATTGGACTTCACTTATATCTTGGCGTTCCGGCCCCACTCCGTACAAAACCCACTTGTCGCCGGTATCCACATCCCCGCATTCGCGAAATCGTTTTCGGCGTCGTCCAACACAGCTATTTTCCGCCCTCGCCGGATCGGGTCGCCATGGAGGAGTGGCCGGGTGTGACAAGTCAAGTCCAGTACCTTCTGAAATAAACACTAGCCGCTTGGTCTTCCTCTCTAATGCTACTGGAGGCACATACCTGATATTGAGCGTTAGTAAAACACACTGCTCAGGTTTTCTCTAGGTATCACTTGATAGTACGCCACGCTCAATGCCGCTGCTCATGATCTTGCCACCGTGACGAGCCGCCTAGCCTGCCCTCGCCACCTGCCTCCATGTGTACAGTTGGAGAGAACCGACAGAGGTAGAAGAGCAGTTGGACAGGTCGCCGTGCCTGCGACCTCTATGTCTACCAAACGACAACTGGACACGCTAGGTGGGGATCCTTTTGGCATATCACATCGGGGCAACTCATAATCACCTCAAATATGACCCAGTGGACCCGTCAATTGCAAGTGGAAAGTATCGCTTGATGACTGTTTTGGCAATTTGGTCTATACCGTTTTCTATTTGCATGTTTCTTCATCACATGCCTAAGAACCCCTCTCACGCCTTGACAAGCTCCATCTTGACACCCCTCTTGCCCGTCGCTTCATCCTTCTCGTCTGTGACCTTGACCTTGACCTTCTGGAACAGCTCCACCTTCAAATTGTAGCTGCCCGTCGTCGTGAGGACGTAGTTCTCGGCATCGAATGTGCTCTCGGGCTCGGGCTCCGCGAGATCGCGCAGCCGGATGAGTCCCTCGATGCCGAACCGCGGCACGAGCACAACGAAGCCGTTGCTGAAGATCTTCATCACGAACGCCTCCTCCTCCGCGACCCGGCCCTTGAGCGCCTGACCGACGTAGTAGGCGATGCTGGCGCGGCCCGCGAGCTGCGCGTTGCGGTGCCGCACGTTGATGTTCTTGCACACGGCTTCGAGCTTGCCGCGGCTGCGCACCGCCGGGTGAATTGCCTCGTACCCGATGGCTGCCGCGAGCTGCCGGTGGGCAACGAGGTCGGCGTAGCGGCGAATCGGGGAGGTGAAGTGTGTGTAGATCTCCGAGGCCAGACCGTAGTGGCGGAACTCGGGATAAGCCTGCGTGCCGGAGCAGAAGTACTCGGCGCTCATCATGCAGCGGGTGGCCATGATGCGGACGAGCGTGTTGAAGAAGGGGTCGGCGGGGTCGACGCACTGATCGAGGGAGTCGGCGAGCGCCTTGCTCGAGTCGACGCGGAGCTCCAGGCCCTTTTTGACCCTCAATTGGTTAGCGAGCTCGTCAAAGTTGGTCTTGGGCGGGGCGCCGTGGCGACGGAGGATGGCGGTCTGGGGGAAGGCTTCATAGATCTTGCTGGCGACGCTGACGTTGGCGAGCAACATGAATTCCTCAACCAGTGACATGGTGTCGAGGTGCTGCTTCGTCTTGACGTCGATTGGGTCCGATGTCTCAGACTCCATTTGCACCTTGACCTCGGGAGATGACAGGCTGAGAGCGCCGGCGTCCATACGCTTCTGCTTCAGCTTCTTGGACAGCATCATGAGCGTCCTGATGCTGTTGGTGAGGTCGTCCTGCTGGGAGGCATCGTCGACGCGGAGCTGGGCCGCCTCGTAGCTGAAAGCCTCCTTGGACTGGATGACCGACTTGGTGAAGCGGGCGCCGACAATGTCCGCGTTCGCGTCCATCTCCCAAATGACAGAGAAGGCGTAGCGCTCAACGTATGGCTTCAGCGAGCACAGATCAGTACCGAGGAGCATGGGCAACATGTCGATTCGCTTGTCCACGAGGTACACCGTTGTACCCCTCAAGCTAGCTTCCGTGTCCATGGCATTGGCCGGCTTGACAAAGTGAGAGACATCGGCGATGTGAACGCCGACTTCGAAGTTGCCGTTGGGAAGCGGCCGCGCGTGGAGTGCGTCGTCGATATCTTGACACCCGATGGGGTCGATACTGCAGATGAGGAGTTTACGTAGGTCCTCCCTGTCCCTCCAGCCGGGGTCTTCCAGACTCTGGGGAACTCTCCAATCGTGTCCCTCCTTCGGGAGGCAGTCGAGCACTGTCTTGGGGAAGGGGCGGTACTGCACGTCGTACTCCAACAGCAGGGCCTCCGTCTCGGCGGTCTTGGTCTCGAGCTCGCCCAGCGAACGGACAAAGTGGCCAACGGGGTGCCGGGAGTCGCGGTCCCACGCATCGATAGTGACGAGCAGGCGCTTGCCGAGGAGCTCGGGGACTTGCCTCGATCGGAGCTTGATCTTGGGGATGCGCTTGTCCATGGGGATGAGGAAGACATTATCCTGCTTGCGGCCTTGGCCGCCGCTCTTGCTCGCGGACGAGGGGTCGATGTGTCCGACGTACTGCCGCCAGTTGCGCTTGATGATGCCGACGACCTTTGCCGTTGGCTGGGGACGACCCTCGGTGCTTTTGCTGTGCGTCTTTTTGACCTCTTCCTGCAGCGCCTTGCGCTCCTTCTCCGACACAAAGTCCTGGACTTCTTCCTCGTCGGCGTTCTCGTCGCGGGTGACGGCCTCCTCCTCGATAATCTTGGTCGACGGCTCCTTCCACTGCTCCTTTGGCAGAACCTCGACGACGACGACGTCACCGCTGACAGCTCTGTTGATGTTTTCTCTGCCGAGGACAATGAGAGGTTTGGGGAATGCAGGGACGTGAATGGAGCCCTCCAGGTAGTTGTAGGGCGAGACGTTGAAGATGCCCTGGTGCAAAAGGCCGGCCTTGACTCCCGTCATCAGCTTGGACATGGTGAAGTACTCGGGGTATATGGGACCGGCCGGTTTCTTGGAGTAGCTCGAGTTCCGCGACTCAGCCACCATATCGAGTAGCCGCTCGCCATCCTCGAGCCCGCCAACATAGTCCGATAGCGACATAGCAGTCACGCCTTCGGCCTTGGCTTTCCTCAGACAGTCTTGATCGTCGCTGAGCATGACGACGGCAGGAACCGTCTTGGCTTTGGTCTGGGCCAGGTGCCCCGCGTACCACTTGACCGCTTTGCGCACGGCGCGGTCGTTGCGGTCGTTGACGGTCTCGTTGGCCTCACGGTTGACATACGTCTCGAGGCGGAAATCGTTAAAGAAGACGTAGAAGCGCTTGTCCTCGCTTTTGGTAAGACCGACGAGGCGATTGTACAGCGGCAGCGAGCGGTTGCGCAGCTCCTCCAGCACAGTTTGCAGGATGACAACGTCATAGAAGGCCGAGCTCTGCTCGAAGAGGTCCATGGCGTTCAGTAGGGCATTGGTGTCGGGAACGATGTAGTGCCCCTGGGGAAACGCCTTGGTGCCTGCCGGCTTATCAGAGAGGACAAACGGTTGAACTGGCCAGTGTTAG